GGAAGCAAAGTGCAGAAAGTAAATCAAGTAGAGTTCCACAGTCTAGCCTTGGCTTTCAGCCGGCTAGACAAGCAGTTAGCACAAGTAGCAGAGAGAGAAGAGAGAATTGTGTGTGTGTGTGTGTGTGTGTGTGTGTGTGTGTGTGTTTTGAACTAATTGTTCGTGTGTTTAGAGGTAAAACAAGAGTGTATATATAGCACTTTAGGAGTAGAACAAATAAGGTAAAAGAATCAAAAGCCAGTCAATTAGGGACAATCACAGAATTACAGAATCAAATAAGAAATCAGTAAGAATCCTAAAATTATACAGGCAATCAATTAAGGTAGAGATGACCAATTAAAGTCATAAACAAGGAAATAAATAAAATCTATGCACACGAATCTTAATAGAGTAAAGTAATTAGCAAAACCTTCAAAAGAATACTGATTTCCGGAAAGAATTACTCAAATTCCATAAATAGAGATTAAACTAAGTAAGACCTCACAGAAAATATAGAACTTAGCCGGAAAAGCAGGTTCGAAACCTAACAAAGATTAATTAGGGCAAAACCACAAAAATACTGGATTTAACAAGAAAAATGTTTAAGTCCAAAAGATAGAGTAAACTAACACGACTGGTATCACAAAAAATACCCAAAATCGAAGCAAAGATCGAAGGAACCACATAGAATCAACTAGGGTTTACATATTCTTGCACAAATCAATCACGAAGACGAAAGAATAATTAATCAAACACTTAAAAGTCAGAAAAACCTTTGAAAAACAACTTGGGATGAACCCTAGTTTAGGAAGAGTGATTAAAAATTGAAATAATCAATTAAAACAAAGATTTTTTTAGGGAAATCACTTAATAACATTCGAATCATCTCAGATCTGTAAAGATCTGAGAAGAATCGACAGTATCGAGCTAGGTTTTTTAGAAAAGTAGTAGAGATGAGAGAATAGGTCAAGAACCCATAGATCCGTAATAAAACAAGAAGAAGTTCTTACTCACAGACGAAAAATAGCCTGAGACAGGCTGATAATCAAAGTTTCAAACTGGAACCTGTTGGGGTTCCCTTGAGATCTTCTCAAGGACCCAAGAAATCGAAGAGCCATGGCGTGTAGAAGACTAGGTCTGGTCAGAGAAGACATAGAAGCCATAGGAGGGGTTCATGTCAGTGACAGCGTTTTAGGGTTAGGGTTAGGTTGAGAGGGAGTTTGAGACGAGGGAGATGATGACGGCGGGTGAGGGAAAGAATGAGAAGGGTTTGGGTAGTTTAGGGGAGTTAATTAAGGTAAGGATAATCGTGGACCATTGATCAAAATGATCAACGGCCACGATTGAACGGGCTAGTGGGTCGGGGTAGGCAGATTGTGCCAAAAGGGGTTTGGGCTAATTTTAAAAAAGGTTTTGGGCTGGTTTCAAAGAGGTCAGGTCTGATATAAAAGGGCTATTTGTTGAATGCCCAAACAATTTATAAAAAAATATTTTATAAGATAATTAATTGATTAAAAAAATAATTTTCATGCGTAGAAATGTTTTAAAATGATTACTCAATATTTTAAAAATACAATGAACCATTTTCTGGTAAAATAATGCAATAATGTACGCATGGGCTATAATTGCAAAGTTATTATTGTAACTAAAAAGTGTAAATCTGGCCATTTGTGAAGTAATTTGAACTTTATATGACTATAAATAGCAAAAATTGGATCATGAAATGTTGTAAGATCGTTTGTGATGCAATTTTATAATTATTTATATAAATAAAATACTGGAATGAATTAATTTAAAAATGTAAAAATTATGGAAAAATATCAATTGATGTTAATGCATAGTTCTAAAGGTATATATGCACTTAAAAAGTATTATAGGGGAAAATTGGATATCAACACAATGCTGATTTCCTAATGAGTGATTGTGTAACATCCTAAACAATTTGTTTTTGCAAACATGCACAGGAGAGATATTGAGCACCTAAAGAAATAAGTTTTATATCTAGAGTGACGAGTTTTAAAAAATTATGAATACAAGTACTAAACATATAATATCGCTGATGAACTAGGCTACTATAATAAACCTATATTCACATTTTATGCACATGCTATGTACATATGCGATTGTTTACAAATCACTGTCTTCCCAATTTATGTTATGCATTTTCTTTTTTAATCTATTGTAATTCGAATAATACTTTTTCATATTTAAAAATAATACTCTCCACTACCAGAAAAAAGAGTGATTTCCGACCACGATATCCGTCAGAAAACGATCAAAAATAATGGATTTTTGACTACTTTCTGACCAAAATTGGTCGGTCGGAAAATAATCGGTCGAAAAATAATTTTCGACCGAATGGTGATTTTCGACCAAAGTAGTCGGAACGTTCAAAAGGTCAGACCACCAAATTATTTTTAAATTAATGACCAAAACGGTCGAAAATTTACCGGTCGAAAATTTACCGATCATAATTAAGAAATAAAATTCCTTTAATTTTTCGACCGAAACCGTCGAAAACTTTATAAAAAATAAATTTTTTTATTATTTCCAATCGAATCGATAGAAAATTTGGGCATTTTTGTGAAAAAAACTAGGCAAATGTCCGATAGTTTCCATCGAAAATCAGTCGGAATTTTCAGTAAAATTAGGCAGAATTCTGCTCAATTTTGAGATACACCACCTATCAAACAATTACAATACGATTACCAACAACCAATCAACAAATCCAACCAATATCACATCGAAACCGACAAATCTAACCAATAACACAAATCTAAAACAACAAATCCATTAAACCTAACAATTTTGGGCGTAAAAACATGCAAATAGTAGCCCACATTCAAGTGTAAAAACAAAACATAAACTTGTCTATCACAATCAAGTTTAACAATCAACCAATACCATAAACCTAAAATACTACAAATCAAATTCAGTTTGTTCATCCTCATCATCAAATGGATCATGCCCATGTTTTCTCATGAATTTCTGCATCTTATCAAATGTTCCGAATTGTGAGTCCAATTGTTGCTTCAAATCACGAATTTCTTTTCTCATATCTTCCATCTGTTCTTGATTTTGCGAAGAAGAAGCATCGGGTAAGAGTGAGTTTGGATGACCTGTAGGTCGGCGTACTCCAAGTCCGTAAATCTCACATTAATCATTATTCTAAATTATATATGTTTTTAACTATAATAATTATATTTGAATAGCTTCTTAAATATTCATATAATCCAAACTAATGATTTCTCAAATTCACAAATTATTTTTAATGATGAAATTGAAAAAAATTTAAATTTAATATCATTCTAATAGTAAAACTAACAAGCAACAATGAACCTAGTACAACAAGCTTTACACTAAAGCTTTAAACTATAACTAGCTAATACAATTAAAATCTATAAACTATAAAGTTAATATATCATTCCATAGATAAATTCAACGCAATGATGTTAGGGAACTCTAAAAACTTATAGCATACAAAGAGAAATATACTACTCCATTAAATTGTACATAATGCTAAGTCAACCATACCTAAAGCAAATAAACCTACAAAAACTGGTATCCCTAAAAATTCAACCATACCTAATTCAACTAGCCAGGATGTTCATTTAGAAAATTAAATAAACCTATAACAATTAAAATCGCTACAAATTTAACAACAAAAATAAGATATATGTCAACGAAGTACTTACCTCGCCGGAAAAAATGCTGGAGAAGAAGGATGATGGAGCTGTCGCGGCGCCACTGCTGCAAAAAAAAGAAAAAAAATTAGTTAAAAAATTAAGAAAAAAGTGAGGAGGAGGTTGAAGAATCAATGGAGGAGGAGGGAGAAGGAGAAGGGAGGAGGAAACGAGAGGGGGTTGGGGGGAACCTTACTTAGACGGAGGAAAATGGTGAAGGACGAGAGGGAGAGAGGAGGAGGATGAGAGAAAGGAGAAGGGAATAAAGGCCGTATGTTTTGTTGGGGCCGGGACCGGGTAGGGTTTAAAAACACATTTCCGACCGATTTGGTGGGAAATATTTAATTAATTTTTTTTAAAATACCGACCGAATAGGTCGTAATATTAATAATAAGTATTACCGACCGATTTGGTCGCTAATAAAGTCAAATCGTCAAAATTTAAAAGTTTAATACCGACGAATTCGGTCGAAAATAAATTCCCGGGCTTTTGCACCAAAAGTTACGACCATAGTGGTCGGAAATGTGGTTGAAATTATTTTGAAAAAATAAATTAGATATTTTTTTTTCGGATTTTCCGGCCGATTTGGTCGGAAATTTACGACAATTTTTTTCCGTTGAAAATTTCGGTCAGAATTCCACGATTTTTTAGTAGTGCTCGTTTCAATTTATGTGAACCTATTTGACTGGACACGGAGTTTAAGAAAAAAGAGAAAACTTTTGAAGTTGTGGTGTAAGGGATCATTATTTTTAGCATGGACTAAAAAGAAAATAAATTCACATAAATTGTAATAGAGGAAGTATAACTTTATAGTTTCTATTTTAATCTTAATGAGACATTTATAAATTTGACTGCTTCACACCATATGTTTCAACTATTTTTTAAAATTCCGTGCTTAGTCAAAGTGCTGTGACCGATATAAGCAGCTTGTAACCAACTTAAATAAAACTTGTGATTACTGCACCGTGACATCAATCCATGATAGCGTAAGTCCCTCGCACATACGCATGGCATGCTTCACAACTACTCCTTACAACAATTTATCTTTGTTCCCATAAAGAGAACCAAAAAATATTACTACTTAGATAGACTTGACTTAAACATAAGTGTTAAAAGCAGATTAGGTGAACCAATTATGGAGTGAGCAAAGCTTGCTGACTTCACACAATGATAGGTAATCCACTTGGGAATTTGTCACAATACTTCTTCTTTCTACTACATAGGAAACGGAGTGTGTGTTGTTTGGATGTAAGAACCGACCAGCTGACTTCTCCTTCGGACTGTACTTATTAAGTTCCTTAACTATGATTGGAACTTCCAAACAGTTCCTTGAGTAACCAATCCCCCACCCCCATCTCTCACCACTCACTACGACACACCTGTAAAACGCACGTGTCATTGACTCACTTCAGAAGCTTCGGAAAAGACAGCCTTCTAAAGCCCTAAATTTTTTCCCTCTTTTCTTTTCTTCGTCGAAGCTCGATCACCTACTGATCTTGCTCTTCCCCTTCCCAAAATTCAACCCTTCTTTCCTAAAATTCGCTACTTCATTAGCTCAGGTCTGTTTTCTTTTTCTTTAATTTTACCTATTTCAATGTCATTGAGATATTGTTTTGTGATCGCGATTGCGCTTATGGGTATTGAAGTTGTTAATTTTACTTGGGATGTAGTAAATTTGTGTCTTAGCATTGTTATTGGTTTTTTCATACTATTTCTTGCATAATTGTATGTCAATTTTAGGATATCTCTCTGTTTTTATTGTTGCCTAATTTGCGAATTGTGGAATTTACAAGGTTATAGATTTTTGTGATTGAATTAGGTATTCGATTTGGTTCTTAATTTTTGAATTTTCTTGCAGAATTTAATTACTGGATGTACTGAGCAAATAACGAGGAGCTTGTCTGCTAAATTAGCTTTGTTACTGGCAAATTGGGTAGAGTTGCTTTTAATTTTATGGATTTCATATAATATTTCTCATTATTTGAGTGTATCTGTTCGATGGTCATAATGAATTTGGGAGTCAAAATGCCGGGAGATCGGCATTGCCCCCGAGTTGACACTTATGAGCTCAAACTTCGGATTGAAAGGAAAGTTGGTCAGCAGAAGGTAGAGAAATATTATTCTATGTTAAGCAGATATTTAAGCCTAAAGATGAGCAAATCAGAGTTTGATAAGTTTTGTGTTGTTTTATTGGGGAGAGAGAATATCTGCCTTCATAATGCGCTTATCCGAGGAATTATAAGAAATGCCTGTACTGCTAAGATGCCTCCGCCAAAAAATGTCACAATGGAGGCTTCCTTTAATGCAAAAGTGCCGAATGGTTGTCAAAGAGGAAGTCTTCAGTCACTGTGCAGGGATGTATTTCCGCAGTCTCCTAGAAAAGGGAGAACTCCTAACCTTCGTGATCGCAGATTTAGGGACCGGCCAAGTCCTCTGGGTCCTCATGGAAAGACCCATTCTGCTGGCTGTGAAGATTTTCCACCAAAAGTACTGGAACAACAAAGTGCTACTGAGCTTCTGTCCTTGGGTAGTAAGCCTCCAGTTGAAGGCAACTCCGTGGAAGAGGGAGAAGAGGTTGAGCAGGCTACTGGAAGCCCCGGTATTCATAGTAGAAGTCCTGTAACAGCTCCCCTCGGCATCTCTCTGAATGCTAAGGGAACAAGGAAAGTATTATATCATGGGTCAGCTCCTTTACATGATATGGGAAGCTGTTACAGCAGTGGTGAGTTGCCCGATGCCAGCTTGCTAATGAAAAAGTTGGAACAAAAGTTGGAGACAGAAGGCTTGAAGATGTCAACTGACTGTGTAAATGTGTTGAACAATGGGCTCGATGTATTCTTGAAGCGATTAATTAAGCCTTGTTTGGACTTAGCAGGCTCAAAGTCACAACACAAGCACATCCTTCACCAAGCTGTTTCAGTTTCAAATATGACAAGGACAATAAGATATAACCAAAAACCAAGTGATCTCTTTTCTATTTCAATGTTAGATTTTCGCACGGCAATGGAGTTGAATCCCAGGATACTAGGGGAGGATTGGCCAACACAGCTTGAGAAGGTTTCAATGCGTTCGTTTGAAAGTCTATGATTGATTAGGGCATTGATTTGGGTGTGACTGTGACTTTGAGTCCATAAAGTGATGACTCATGTTGTGATTCTATTAGCAGGTCTAACAGTAATGCTGACAGAAGTTATACAAGCAGTAGTAAAGCATCTGCATTGTTTAAAGCTACGGAAAATTTTGGATCATGGTTGTTAGGTTGTATATATACCTCAGAGCTGATTATTTCTGAATTGAGAGTTGTTACCTCGTGAAGTAGCAAGATATCAACACCTGTAAGATTGTAGCCATTACAAATAGAGTTAAGTGGGCTTTGTCAATTATTATCTATAGCTGTTCATGTCATTGATGTTGTTAATAAAGATTATTCTTTGAGTATATAGGGACTCACTTATCTTTATCCTTGACCCTTCTCCACAGAAGAATAATATAGAAAAAGGAAAGAAGAATAATTAACAAAAGAGAAGAAAATATGCATCACTCATATACTGTATTGTTTTTGATGGTACCTTTCTTTTCAACGAACAGTACATACCTTTTATGTAAAGGAGAACAGTACATATACCTCTTCTCTATTTGTTTCCAATATGGATATTTGTTGTTCAAATGGATTAGCAACCATGATATCAGGATTCTGAAGAATATGGGAAGTTTCTGAAAAACAAACTGCAGGGGAAGAGTTAAAGAAAGAGTCGAGCAGACTCTATACTGAGCTATTAATCTGCTATTCCCATCAACTAAGACAGCTTAGTTGATGACTACAATATGCATGTAAGATAAGCAAATGGTTCCTTGCTGTATGTAACCTTTTACTACTGAAATGCGTTGTGCTGAGTGAAAACATGACCAAGTCTTTTAGCATGTAGAAGTCCATAGGCATTTCTTGATTGTCTGCAACAGTTCTTTTTATAGTGGTTGAATATAAACCAGCCTGATAACTCTTGCTCCTCTGGTGATGCACTTCTGGGAACTCCACTAGATGCACGATTTACAATAATTGAAGGTACATGGACCAAGCTTTAGGTTGATTGAGTTGAACAGTTGGGTTGAGCAAAAGTAGCAAAAGATGATGAAATAGGAAATGGTAATAAATGATATTGCACTTGTACTACGATTCTATAGCATCTGGCTCTCTCTCTCTTTCTATAGAGGAAATATTCTGACAGTGGGATACCGTTTAAAAGCTCATGCAAGTAATTAAATATATGGTTTTTATAGCAGAACCATTATTTATAGAGAAATTTTCACAAACCACTATTGTTTAGTGGTTATTAGCTAGCCGTAGCTACCATCTACTATATTACTTCCTATAGCTATGTTTTCAGTTTTGCTAGAGTGTATTCGATGTATCTAAGTCTATTCAGCTGTTTTTAAACGGAAAGTGAATCAATTAACACAAATAGACTCCTAATATAACTCAACAAACTCAATTATAAATCTAAATACATAAATACATCTGAATACATAAATTATATTAATTAAAAAACATATATATGAATACATTCATGAAATAAAGCGAGACAGTGAATACAATGAAATACATGGAATACAGCGAGATACATTGAAATACAAAGAAAAAAAAAGACAATGAATATACAATGAAATACATAGAATACAGCGAGATACATTGAAATACAATGGAAAAAAAGTAACAGACTCCAGCCCCAAACTCCGTCGTCTTAATTTGTTCAAGAATAACCCTAATGCCGTCTCGTCGATAGCAGATTTCGAACCTCCATTGTCATCCCCAATTTACCCTATGTCAGATTTCGACATTGATACGAAACATAGAAATTCCTAAATAGTAACCGTACTTCACTCTTAATTTGGACATTATCAGGCCCACATAATAACATCGAGCTTCTATAAGGGGTAATCCCAGTCATCAACTCATAAAAACTAGAGCAGGCAAAATTGGTATTCGTACTTTCTGACTATTGTGTTTACAGGTTATTGAGACGATAACAGTACAGTAATAGGCATATTGTTGTCGAATAGCAGATTTCGAACCTCCATCTTTCTCTCTAGGGCTTGATTTTGACATTGATTCAGAGCCCCAGGCCACTGACAATGAAGATGAATCAGTGGAGAATCATGGTTGTATTCATGGAGAAAGACTAGCGTTGAGCGAGAGAGAGAGAGGGTGGAGAAAAATCTGAAAGAATGAGAGAGAAAAATAATTTTTGTGGCTTAAGGGTGGGAGGAGACCATAAATAAATATTTGGCTATAAAAATCAAAAGGTAGCTATGGAATATAATTTTTTAAAAGGGTATTTAGTTAAAATAAATAAGGTATCAACCTTTGCTACAGGAGCTAAAAATTCCTTATTTGTATAAACTAAAACCAATAGTCAACTGATTTTTCAAATGTGACATACAAGAGCCTGTTTGGACATAAGTGTTAAAAAACTAAGCTCAAAGTAATAATATGAAATAAGAAAATAGACAAGAAATGTAGAGAGGAAGAGAGGACTATCTTATTTCTTCTATGTATTCAAGTGTATTTTCTTGTTTCATATTATTACTTTAAGCTTAGTTTTTTAACATATTATCAGCACGAGTATCTAACCAATTGAATTTGATTTCTTACTTTTTCAAGAATTTCTGTATATAAAAATGGAAGAGATGGTATCATCATAAATTAATGCAATGGAATGGGAACTCAAGCAGTATATTTGATATTACAACATTTGTTGGTATAGCTTAAAGGTAACAATGGCATAGCTGTAACGCACAAACCTTTATGGTATATTTCACTACTTTTCCAAGAAGATATGGTTTGTGAAATTTTGGTTTATGCAATTTGTACTTTATGAATTTACGTATCCACAAATATGTTACTGCCATCACATAAGATATGACATTAAAAAAAATGCACGTCAAGTAGTCTTGTGTAGTATAGTTCTTAAATCAGAAACTTCCTATGATCAATTATTATTAAAAGATGAAAAGTTATGATTTTAGATACATATTGAGCTATATTTTTAATGAATAGTAGGTCGTACTTGCATAAGAGATGCACTTCATGTCACTGTCACTTATCCCTTGAATTATATTCCTTTTTCTGGAAATAGTAACCATTTATATTAACCACAATGCATTTCTTTTTGGCATGATGACAATTGAGGTAACTAAAGTTCTTTGCAATTTTATCTAAATTATTTGACTGATAATATTTTAAAGGCTCACAGGTGAGTTTCAGTTGTATTTTGGCCCATTATGCTATTGGTTGAGGGTAAGACAGTGGGTTCAAGTCCCAACGCATTATGAGGATAAGACATCAGGATTCACTGATGCACTATGATGATAAGAGTTGGATTTGAGTCCCAACTCATTATGGCCTAACATGCCTTTATATGGGTAAGGCATTGGGTTTGAGTCCCAATGCATCATATTGATGATATAATGATGACTAAAGAAAAATAATATATTTTTCATGTAAAAACATGAAGCTTGTCCCACTTTATTTGCATCATTCTTGAAGTGAATGTGGTAGTGGTGCATAATAAGTCTAAATGAAAATAAGATAGTTATCTCTTCCTCTCTACATTTCTTGTCTATTTTCTTGTTTCATATTATTACTTTGAGCTTAACAATATAAATTTTTTCCCTTTTTTCCGAAATCAGTGTTTGTTCATAAAATTTCCAAAAATTTCCAATTTTCACTTGAAGATGCATTTTGGAAATTTTCGAAAATTTGAAAAACTCCAAAAAGCTGTTTTTCAAAATTCTCACTCATAAAACTTCGAAAACAAGCCAAAATTCTATTCATGTCCAAACACAACTTTAAATTTCAAATATCATTTTCACTTGAAATAATTTTTCACCCTTTTTTGGAATTTTACAATTCTTATGTCCAAACGGCCACTTAAATTACATAAAAACTCTAAAACTGAAGGATTGAATCATAAATTATTCGAAAGAAATAAAAGATTTAGTATCATTTTTACAGTTATGAGATATAACTGCAACATATTCTCTGTGAACTGTCTAAAGCAGGAAGTGAAAGGTCTTCCATCACTCTTTCAAGTTCTGTGGTTGATGTCTCATCTTCTTGATTTCTCCATTTCTTCTTGTTATCAAAGCTTGTTGGACTTTAAAGCATTGGGCTTCAAAGACTTTAAGCATTGGGTTTTAAAGTCTAAAAGTGTGAATTGAAAATAGTGAAAAATAAAATAGAGGGAAATAAAAATTTGAATGAAGTGAGCTTTTGTCTTGAACTTTGTCCCTCATTGGTGAGGGACAACTACATTTGTGTGTATATATATATAGAATCACTTCTTAAAACTCTTGAAAGGAGTTGAAGAGAATGAACCTTCGCGCCGTCGTCGTCGCTCGCTCGGCTTCGGCTTCGGCTTCGGATCGATCGATAAGATTATTTTTGGACAAAATTTATTTAATTAATTATTTAATAATTAATTAAATGTCAGTTAGTTAGCCGCTGTCCGGGCGTGACCGCGGTAGGACCGCGCCAGAACACTGCTGCAGATTCAGAAGGCCACTCTGGCCGCGGTCCTGGCGTAACCGCGGCAGGACCGCGGCAGGACGCGTAAACTTCTGAATAGACACCTTTTCCAGAACAAACATCATACCTCTTCCAATAATTGCCTATAAATTCTGAGGCATGACTTCGTTTTTAACACACTGAAAAAATAACAAAACTTCCTTCTTTCTGAAAATACTGCATTCTAATTCGCAGTCTCTCTCTCTCAAATTCGTAAGTATAGTCATTGTTTGCTTATATGTTGATGATATGCTAATAATGAGCAAAGACATTGCCGACATTCAAGCTACTAAGCGTATGCTTGCTAGTAAGTTTGATATGAAAGACTTAGGAGTTGCCGATGTAATTCTAGGAATTAAAATCCAGAGGACTCCTCAGGGTCTAGCTTTGTCTCAATCACATTACGTGAAAATGGTACTTGAAAAATTCAAACACTTGGAATTTAAAAGTGCAAGAACTCCAATTGACTTAAATCATCATCTTATAAAGAATAAAGGTGAAAGTACATCTCAATTGGAGTATGCTCGTGTGTTGGGAAGCTTAATGTACATCATGAACTGTACACGACTTGATATAGCTTGTGCAATAAGTAAACTTAGTCGATTCACAAGTAATCCAAACAAACATCACTGGGTGGCAATGAAACAAGTTCTGGGATATTTGGAATATACCCAAGACTACGCTTTGCACTACAATAAATATCCTGCGGTTACCGAAGGATATAGTGATGCAAATTGGATAACCGGCTTAACAGAAACAAAGTCCACAAGTGGATATGTTTTTACTGTTGGTGGAGGAGCAGTTTCTTGGAAGTCTTCCAAACAAACGTGCATCGCTCGCTCTACAAATGGAATAAGAGTTTATAGCTTTGGATAAAGCCGGTGAAGAAGCTGAAT